AGGGTTAAAGGGAGAACATCCATGGGGGACATTACTGTGGGGATCTGTTACAGACCGCCTGATCAAGAGCACTCTGTGGATGAAGTGCTCTGTAGGCAGACAGGCACAGCCTCACACTCATGGGCCCTTGTCCTCGTGGGGGACTCCAACCACCCTGACATCTGTTGGAATGACGGTACGGCCCGGCACAAGCAATCCAGGAGGTTCCTCGATTGTGTGGAAGACAACTTCCTTCTGCAAGGAACAGAGGAGCCGACAAGGAGAGGTGCCATGCTTGACCTCCTGCTCACCAACAGGGAAGGGCTCCTTGGAAATGTGACGCTCCAGGGCAGCCTTGGTTGCAGCGATCATGAGATGGCTGAATTCGAGATGCTCAGGACAGTGAGGAGAGCGTGCAGCAAGCTCACTGCCCTGGACTTCAAGAGAGCAGACTTTGGCCTCTTCAGGAACCTGCTCAGTAAGGTTCCATGGGATATAGCCCTAGAGGGCAGGGGGGCCCAAGACTCTTGGTTGATATTCAAGGATCACCTGCTACAAGCTCAGGAGTGTTGCATCCCAGCGAGAAGGAAGTGCAGCAGGAGGGCCAGGAGACCTCCTTGGATGGATAAGGAGCTGCTGAGGAAAAAAACAAATGAAAAAAGAGTCTTATAGAAAGTGGAAGCAAGGACAGGCAGCCTGGGAAGAGTACAGGGATGTTGTCCCGGAAGCCAGGGACCGGATTTGGAAAGCTAAGTCCCAGTTAGAATTAAACTTGGCTAGGGATGTTATGGACAACAGGAAGGAATTCTACAGGTACATAGCAAATAAAAGACAGACTAGGGACAATGTGGGCCCTCTCCGGAAGCTATCAGGAGAACTGGCTACACAGGATTTGGAGAAGGGTGAGGTTCTGAATGACTTCTTTGCCTCAGTCTTCACTGGCAAATGCTCTGACCACACCACCCAAGTCTTGGAAGGCAGACACAGGGACTGTGAGAATGAAGACCTTGGGCCCACTGTAGGAGGGGATCTGGTTCAAGACCATCTTAAGAACCTGAACGTGCACAAGTCCATGGGTCCTGATGAAATCCATCTGTGGGTCCTGAAGGAGCTGGCAAAAGAAGTTGCTAAGCCGCTGGCCATCATATTTGGCAGATCATGCCAGTCAGGTGAAGTTCCCGACGACTGGAAAAAGGGAAATATAACCCCCATTTTAAAGAAGGGGAAAATGGATGACCCGGGGAATTACAGACCAGTCAGTCTCACCTCTGTGCCTGGCAAAATCTTGGAGCAGATTCTCCTGGAAGGCATGCTAAGGCACATGAAAAACAAGGTGGTTGAATAAAGAACTGGCTGGATGGCAGCATGCAAAGAGCTGTGGTCAATGGCTCAATGTCCAGCTGGAGACCAGTAACAAGTGGTGTCCCTCAGGGACTGGTGTTGGGACCATTCTTGTTCAGCATCTTTGTTGGTGACATGGACAGTGGGATTGAGCGCACCCTCAGCAAGTTTGCCGATGACACCAAGCTGTGTGGTTCGGTTGATCCGCTGGAGGGAAGGAATGCCATCCAGAGGGACCTTGACACGCTTGTGAGGTGGCCTGATGCCAACCTCATGAAGTTGAACCATGCCAAGTGCAAGGTCCTACACCTGGGTCGGGGCAATCCCAGACACAGCTACAGGTTGGGCAGAGAAGAGATTCAGAGCAGCCCTGCAGAGAAGGACTTGGGGGTGCTGGTCGATGAGAAACTTAACAGGAGGAAGCTTCAGTGTGCACTCCCAGCACAGAGAGCGAACTGTATCCTGGGCTGCATCAAAAGGAGCGTGACCAGCAGGTCAAAGGTGATCCTGCCCCTCTACTTCGCTCTCATGAGACCTCACTTGGAGTATTGTGTGCAGTTCTGGTGTCCTCAACATAAAAAGGACATGGAACTGTTGGAACAGCTTCAGAGGAGGCCACGAGGATGCTCAGGGGACTGGAGCACCTCCCATATGAAGACAGGCAGAGAAAGTTGGGGCTGTTCAGCCTGGAGAAGAGAAGGCTGCGTGGAGACCTCATAGCAGCCTTCCAGTATCTGAAGGGGGCCTATAGGGATGCTGGTGGTGGACCCTTCATTAGGGACTGTAGTGATAGGACAAGGGGTGATGGGTTAAAACTTAAACAGGCGAAGTTTAGGCTGGATGTAAGGAAGAAGTTCTTTACTGTGAGGGTGGTGAGGCACTGGAATGGGTTGCCCAGGGAGGCTGTGAATGCTCCATCCCTGGCAGTGTTCAAGGCCAGGTTGGATGAAGCCTTGGGTGCCATGGTTTAGTGTGAGGTGTCCCTGCTCATGGCAGGGGGGTTGGAACTGGATGATCTTAAGGTCCTTTCCAACCCTAACTATTCTATGATTCTTCATTTTAGTAAATGTAGGGCTGGGACCAAACCACTTACAATTTCCAGCTTGTATTTTGGATTGAGCTTTATTATAGTCTATTTATTACAGCCTACTGTTAGCTGGTCTGTGCTCTGACAGTCTTAAAAAAGGAATTGGGACAGCACAAAGACATCTTCCTCAATAACACCATAAAGTTACCGAGGAAAAGGGTTCATTACCAGAGGCCACAGGTCAGTTGGACTGAACCATAAGCTTTTTGTAGCTCTCTAGCAGCAGATTTTCTGAAGTGGGAGAATGTGAGGACAAAGCAACTATGTGCATACTTCCCATTCCTCACACTGGGCAGCTCTGCATGTGTCTCATGGTGCAATGGTAATCACATGAAGGGAGGCTTGCCAGGAGGAGAACAGTTACCCATTAACCACTGGCAAACACTGCGGGGAGGAAATAAATGTTGTTTTTCTGTTTTCCTCAGTAGAATGACAGCACATTCTATACAGCCATAAAAATAACCTTGGAGCAGTTGCTGGTGCAGAGGAGCTGCATACCTACTGCAGTATACCAGTGCTGGCAATGGCCTGGTGTGTACCAACAGTGCCTCAGTGCCATCAGACTCTAGTATCATAAGAGGGGTTTGTTGGGAATTTTGGGTGGGGGGTTTGCCTTTGTGTTGGGTTTGTTCTGGTTTTTTTCTGTAGCTGACACACAAGCAATTACCCCAGCGATGTGCCCAGCACAGAGTTCTCTCCATGGACAAGAATAACCTTGCACCTCAGGCCTGCTCTGGTCTGACTCAGAAGTACTAAAAGGCCACAAAAAAAGTAAACAGCTTTCATGTGCATTTACATTTTGGGTAAATGGCTGGGTCACCCAGAGGACAAGGACTGTGTATGGGAGCTATGGAACAACTGCTTCTGCACACTGAAACCACCAGCAAAAATAGTCTCCTGGATGATGTAGCTGTAGAGAAATTTTAATAAATGAAAGAGAAATCTAGCATATCAACTATTCCGTAACCCTTCAGACACAGCAAAAGCACACATTTGCTTTGACCCGGGAAGGTGACTGACCATTCCTGAGGACTGCTGCTTCAAGGCCCTTGGCAAACAATCCACAATCAGGAGTGCAAACCACTGGGTATTGAAATAATGATGGAGTGAGAAATTTGTGCTTGCATGTAGGTGTGTGGGGAGGGAGGAAGGCAAACCACCATCTGGAGGACCAGACTGCCCACACACCCCCCAGCCTTCCTTGGTAAGGTCAGGACCCAGAAACAGAAACTCAAGACACCAAGGAGACCACCACCAGCAATGGTTTCCCCCTACCCATGTGCAGTTCTGGTCCCTCTGAATAATCCTCTGTGTGCCAATGCATTTCTCAGGTTTTCTTTTAATCATAAAGCACGGAAGGAACAGTATTTGAGGTAAACATCCTGGAAATATGAAGGTTATATTTAGCACTACCATCTGTGCCGGAATATATCTTTATTTGTGGTGTAACAGCAGTTGCAGTGTGAGTCTTCAGAGGATTAAGCAAAGACAACGTATTTCCATGCCAAGTTCAGACAGGTATATGTAAAATACAAGAACATGATACTGTATATAAATTGGTAATATTATTCTTTCTGACTTAGCTCAGTATAAAGCTGATCTTCAGTCATGCTATTTATGGAATCATAGACTATTTTGGGTTGGAAGGGACCTTAAAGCTGATCCAGCTTCAACCCCTGCCACGGGCAGGGACCCCTTCCACTGGAGCAGCTTGCTCCAAGCCCCTGTGTCCAACCTGGCCTTGAGCACTGCCAGGGATGGGGCAGCCACAGCTTCTCTGGGCACCCTGTGCCAGCGCCTCAGCACCCTCACAGGGAAGAGCTTCTGCCTAAGAGCTCAGCTCAGTCTCCCCTCGGGCAGGTTCAAGCCATTCCCCTTGGCCTGTCCCTACAGGCCCTTGTCCCAAGCCCCTCTCCAGGTTTCCTGCAGCCCCTTTAGGCACTGGAGCTGCTCTGAGGTCTCCCCTTCAGGAGCCTTCTCTTCTCCAGGCTGCCCCAGCCCAGCTCTCTCAGCCTGGCTCCAGAGCAGAGCTGCTCCAGCCCTCGCAGCAGCTCCATGGCCTCCTCTGGACTTGCTCCAACAGGTCCATGTCTTCCCTGTACTGAGGGCTCCAGAGCTGGATGCAGTTACTTGCTACCTGTACTAGCTTCCTCTAATGCTTCTTGAGGGCTTCCCTAATATGTACCAGCCTCGGTATGCAACAGTATGTCAACTTGAAATCTGACCACCTTGTTAGTTTTGTGGCAGAAGACTCTATTATGGTTCTCACTCTTAGGCCTTATGACAGTAGTTACTAATCCTACATTTTGCTTCACTGACGACTAATTCCAACTGCTGATGCTACCCATTAAAAAAAAGTAAATATAAATATATATATTAAACTAAACCAGTATCTACCTGGAGAAACCACCTACTGAGAAAACATGAGCAAAAATAAACAACTGCCAAGTCCATAATCACACTGAGATCACACCAAAAGCTGACATTTATGAGCAGGTTTAAGAGCTAACTCCCCAGCTCTGAGATTCCTGATTTCAAATGCTAAATCCACATAACACACAGACCTTCACCCGCTTTTCTTTCTTTCCAATAGCAACCTTTATGCCCTCTCCTTCGAGCACACACCAGAGGGAAGCTGACATGCAGAAGAACATGTACTTACACACCAGAAAGCCAGAAGGTATCACAGGACATCCAGAAATTCGCACAGCATCTGTTGGATGCTCTCAGCATTTGAAAGACAAGCATCCATTGTCAAAGCAGAGATTAAATGCCTATTTAAATTATAACCATCAATGATAAGCAGCTTAGCACTGAGCCTTCGCTGTACATTCACACACAGATTATGGTATTACTGCAAGATCTCTCTGCTGTAGGTTCCTGCAGAGGTTTGAAATAACCCACACACAGCACAAGAGCCCACTTTCACAGCTGGCACACATGAGCAACCCTTCTAGACTCACGCTGGTAACTGGACTGCTCTGGAGAAAAAGCAGGTTTCTGTCTTTCATAAAGAAATGCTGAAATATGAGCAATTTGCAACAGAAACCATGCAACTGACCAGCTGATGCTCAACACAAGCACAGCACAATGCCTGCATATTCCACAGAACAACCGTCTGCACCCCTTCTGGGCTGCATTCAGCAACACTTCTCCTCACTGCCCACACTGAACAGGTAGCAATAACCAACAGGTTTCCAGCACCAGCAAGACACCCGGAAGAGCCTCTGCACTTGTTCCCCCAGAGACATGCAGAGAGGAGGCATTTCTGGAGGTCTGGCTCCTATTCAGGAGAGAAATGTTTCCCTTGGCTTGTGAACGTTGCTCAGGCTGAGCACGGTAACAGGCTGAAGAAGCCAGCTTTCCATTCCCTGTTCCATTACTCTTTTTGATTGGCACTTTAATGAGGGCGCCAGGGGTCGACCCCTTGCCAGGGGGCAGGTTCATGCCCCGTTTATCTCACAGTCCATGTAAGACTAAAATAACACACCAGGCTGAGTTTCACTGGCTTGTAATCCAACAGCCCACCATGATGGATTGAGTGACTGCAGCAAGCTGGCAGCTAAAGTGTGTTGTAACAGTATCTTTCTGTCAGCACAACACAATGGATTTGCTGATTCCTGGGCTTTCCCAGTGTTCACCCTTACCATCAGCTCAGAACTTGCTAAAGTTCATTTTCCAGGGGGCTGCAAAGTGATAATAAATAACATACCAAAGGTTACGCCAAGCTTTTCTTCCCCTCAACTGTCCTGCTGCTGACAAAGTAGGGGGTGTGGTGCCAGCTTTATTGCACACACAAGAGCAGCCGTAAATCCACTCGCTTTTCCAGAAAGGAAGAAAGGGGGCAGCTATACTGCTCTTTTTGTGTGAGCTTATCCTGCCAATACAACACGCTACACAGGACGTTTCACCCCCTCACATAACAGTGAATACAATCCAGCACCAGAGGAGGTTTCTATGTAAAGCACTCCTCTCCAGAAGAGCTGTCGGCTTATATGGGGGCTAAGTTCACAGGCTGCAGAAACATGGCCAACAATCCACAGTCCTTGTGATCCTTTTACTTATCTGCATGGCTTAGAACCATCAAAATAACCCATAGTGAGCTAGAAAACACAGGAATCCTATGTGAGGGATGTATTACGTTTTAGATCCCTTTCTTTAGTATTATAAAATATCCTCTTATCTCCTCTACAGGAAAACCCCAAACAGGGTGGTGGGGTGTTTGTTCTTTTTTTTTTTCCCTTTAAATAAAACTTGGGAATACTAGGAAAGAGACTGAATTTTATTTGTCATCTCAAGACGCCCTCCATGTCCTCTTACTAAGAAAGACCTTGTCTCTGTGTCTTGATACCCTTCTCATTTTCCTTGCCACTGCCTGTGAAATGAGCAACTCACCTCGCATACCAGGGAGAACATTCTTATTTTCAGTTATTGCCATCCCAACCCCTCCCACCAAGAGCAAATAAATGAGCTCCACAACAGAAGTGGCTTTTCACTTCCTGTATAAGGATTTTTGACTGCACGAATTTCAAGCTACAACTCTCCCACTCTCCAAAGTCAGTTAACACCCTGCCCCTGGGGTTAATAAAGAGGGAGGGTGAATACTATTCTCCTTGCTTAAGAGAGAACAACTCCATACATTTATCTGGACCTCTACAGTTGTCAGTTTCTTTTAGGCCTTGCACAACACAGTCTAACACAGCCACAAGTATCTCTAAAATCAACTTCAGCTGCCCTAATGTCAATGTGTTCTGAAATATTTCACTGTGGGCATCCAGAACTGATTCAGCCTCACCCTTTTCCATCTCTGGGACTCCAGATCTCACTCTGGCCAAAGCAAGTGTGTTCTGGCCAGCAAAAATTACTAAGAGAGAAGGGGACTGAGGAAGGTAAAAGAAATGAGAATACAGACGTGGAAAGGACTCAGACAGGTAAGATCAAGGAATAATGCATAGGGATATGAAAAAAAAATAACATGACGGGAAAACAGGGCCAGACGAAGGAGCTGCCTGAAGAAAAAACGGCTGCTCTCAAAAGCAGCTTACTGTTTACATTGACAATACAAGTCACTGCACAGTACAGATTTCAGTTCACAGGCCTGGAGAAACAAGCCTCATGGGTTGAAGATCTGTTTGTGAGAGGGAAGAAACAATCATAACTACGAACTGAACAGCAGCAGCACATGGGGTCACTACTGGTGCAAGCCTCTGGTAGTGCAGAGTATGTAATTAGCCTAATTCTTTGCAGGACTCCTCTAGAGAATACAGTTTGTAGTTCTGGGCACCCCAGCACTGTGGCCTGCAGATACATTACTCATCTAGCTTTGAACTAGCTCCCTCAGAGACTGCCAACATCACACCCACAGCACAGTGAGGTGAGGTAGATGTCTTGTGAACACGGTCTGAAGCTTCACTATGGACCTTGTCTGCCTACATAAGTTGCTGTAGCCAAGCCCTAAATGTTCTCTGGGAAGAGCTAGATACTTACAGCTCAGCACAGAAACACAGAAGAGGGCATACGGAGCCTACAGCAGAAAGTCTGGGAATTATTAGGACAAACGAGTGGGTGGGAGAGCTCAAGGGACCAGTGGGCGGATGCGGGAAATCAGTAACACTGATTTGAATAACTGGTAACAATTGTTAGATCTTCTTTGGTATGAATCATCTCTCAGAGACTCAGCATTTAAATGGTGTCACTCAAGGGGCAGTAAAAAATATAGTAGAAGGAACAAACCTGCCATGATACAATGGTTTCGAGCCACAAGGTGAATTGCCAAACAGGCCTAGAATGCTTCACCAACATGACTAAAAAGGAGCAACTTTTGTGGAGGATACGCTCTAACTGACAGGTCAGACAAGCAAATTTGATTATGATGCAGCTTGGAGCTTTGCTGAACCTGCTTAAAGGAGTGGCCCCACTTACCTGATGACCACTGAACTTGTCCTTGCCTCATCCCCTTCCCAGTGATGGTATTTGAATTTGAAACTATGGGTTATAAAATTAGCCAGCCAGAACCATCCCAAGGGAACAAAACCAAACCAGAACAATGAAGCAAAAGCCCAAATTAAGCAAACAACGACAACAAAGTGAGTTTGAACAGAATCCATCCTCTGACTGGGCTCACCAAACCTCGAGATGCTCCTGTCTTTGCAGGGGAAGAGGCAGCAGAGAGCAGCGCTGCCTTATACAGGTGTCAACTACTTTTATCGTTTTAAACAACTGCATGAGAAGAAAACCTGTTTGATAAGCAACTAGTACCACTGGCAACAGGCAAGCTCAGGAGCCCAACAGCAACCACAGTACAGTTCACACTCCTTTACTCCACACTTTCTAACAGACCCCCTCCTCTTCACAATCTACAGAACCATGGCCCTCTTCTGTCAGAAATACTGAGCTTCTGAATCCAATCCACATGTGTTTCTCACCTGATGGGCAAAATAGCAGACTATTAAAAAAGCAAATTACATTCTCACCCTCTGGTACAAGAGGTGTCTGCAGACGGCACACAGTAGCAGTAAGCTCTGCAGTAGGCATGGCCTTTCTTCCCAGGCTTCCTCCCAAGTTCTCCCGTAACCTAGAGTGGCACCACAAGATCGCTGACACCAGCTACTGAAACACAGGGCTGATCTGGATCCACATCTGGACAACGTGCTTCTGTTTGTTCTAGGAACCTGGGATACCAAGAGAGACGCTATCAGTACTGCTTTGCAGCCAATCACCTAAGCTAAACCTGAGGAGTTGTAAGTGAACTGACATTTACACATAGTCAGTCCCAGAACTTAAAACTTCCCAGATCCAAAATGGGGGGTAGAAACCCTCACTTTGCATTGAGCACAGAACAGGAGGCAAACTGAAAAACCTCACTGCTCCAGGAAGGCTCACAGCTTCCTAAAGTCAGAGATTATCTCTAGGTTTATATAATGCTCTTCCCTTTTTAGACACAGAGCTCCCGGCATTCACTACCATCACCAGCAGCGGAAGTGCACTACTGGTTAAGGTTTCTTAAGGGAGTGTTTGCAAGGACCTGTTTCATGGAATTTAGGCACACAGAGGACTTAACTCCTGGAAATACTGTGCATTAGACATGCTCCTATGGGTTTCAGACTTTCTTTACCTATGATAAGTGAAAAGGAAAAAGATCAGAAAACTAAAAAGTCCCAATTTCAAAACAGTTATTTTTAGCCTAAAAACTAGGTCACAGTGCTTTATGGAGAATAACCACATGTTACTCTCCAACAAAGTTACCACAGCTATAGAACAGAAAAATGGCGTAAGAAAGTATATCAAAAACTTCAGTCTCACCACTATGCAGACTGTGGTGGAGCAACAACCCAGGGACTTTAATTTACTTGGAGCTTTCTTGGAAGAGAAGAGAGGGAGAGAAAGCAGTACGGACTTAGGAAAGGGTCAGCAGAACAAAGTCAGCTCTTGGTTCCATACTACACCTCTAGAGCAAAGTCCACTAAATAGAAATGACATAAGAGCCCAAATATGCCATCTCTCCTTATCAATATCTATTATTAACAAAAATTATGAATTTTAATGGTTAGCATAATGCTATGTTTTTACATCTGTCAGCAATTATTTGTATTTACTTGCCCTGCAAATGCAGAAGTCAGAGAAACATAAACACCAGAATTCACTAAATTTCCACCAGTCTTGTGTTTTCCCACAAAGAATCTCCAGTCATCACAGTTTAGACACTGTCATTTGTTCCTTGCCGTCTCCAGAATGGAATTTCTTCCCAATCCTCTATGATGAGAATAATTGGTCCTTGTTTTAAACTAGAGCAAATGACTAAACCCTTCTGCAACTAGTGGTTTTAACATCATGCTCTTAAGACAGGAATTAGAACTACAGTATTTCTTGGACTCAAAATAGCAACTCAAACTCTTCTCAGTTCCTGCTCTCTCCTTGGCCATGCTTTATGACAGCACAGAAAGGCGGCAGGGAGCACAGCTCTACTTGAGCTGTACTCCACCTGTGCAATGCAGGGTGAGGAACAGGTTAGCTGGGTGAAAAGTTCACTGCAAGCTGAGCTGTCTGTTTCTCTTGCTTAATTTATCCAATATTTGGCTAACCTTGCTCTGAACCCAGCCCCCAAGACCCCCTTCCTCTCATCCCTCCCCAGTGGGTTCATGTCAGCCAAAGACACCGCCTCTTGTTCCCTTCTCCTGACCCTGCTGAATGGAGCGGGGGCTGGAACAGAGGGCCAAGCACAGCCTGAGATGAGAGCCCTTGAGCTGGACAGATAATAATTATTTATGCTCTACACTTCAACAGGCCTCATCCTCAGGAGCAAACAGAAAAGTTCTGCAGTCAGCAGCTTTGCCTGATACTGTGCTCAAGCTTATCAGTTTTCCCAAGGCTGGATAGCACCCACTTGGCACCCCCACCTCCTCTGCAGCCCAGAGCTCTTCCAAGGATGCAGCACTTCCTGAGGTAGCCCGAAACAGATTCCTGAACCACTTTAGAAGCCCTTGCAAGGGGGCTGTCACACAGTTTCTACTACTTTCATGATCTCCAAGATACCACGTTAGTCCAGTATGTCCATTACCTCATTTCTGCAGCTCAAGGTCTTCAAAAGGCACACAACAGACATACTTAAAATGCCACAAAGAACAGAGCACAAGCAGGAATACCCTAGATGGTTTTTCTCCCCTCACATCCCATAAACTCAGTGAAGGAAAGAGTGGGGCAGTGATACGTGGTACTGCTGCTCTTTGGAGAAAAGGATTCCTGATCCATAGACCTTAATGGATCCATAGGCTACTCATCCTGCATAATACAGAAAAGGTTCTGCTCAGAAACTGCCTTTCACTCATTATTGTA